CGCGCAATAAATTAAATTGGGAAATTTTAAGCTATGTCAACCTTGGGGCAAGTTTTCTCTGTAAATATGTATCTCGGCCAAACGTGACCATTGGCAGATCATTGGTTTTCGAATGTTATATTAATTAAGTTTGCGATTGAGTTACGTAAAAATCAGAGAGCATATCTCGGGAGACTTCCATTGTTGTACAATTGATCCGTGGTATCTGTTATTTAGTCACATACAAAAAGCATATAAACGAACCTCTTGGTGCACCAGCGAGAACAGAATCAATGTTAGGAGGACGACGATTATGGATGCACATGCTTCCAAATACTGAGATACTTTTAGCTTATCTCCATAGGTAAAAAAAGATGAATAAAATTGCAAAAAACCTAGAAGGCCCATACTTAATTGCGCAGTAATTATTACTGAAAAGTTCTTCGTAATCATATCGCTAAACCTCCTCATGATGTGTATGTTGCGCATTACCTCTACCCTGTCACTATATATTGTTGGAAACTGCAACCTTGTCCGAGCTATTAGGGACACCCTTTTTATGGCGCAATAGCTCAGGATAGCCATTTCGAATGGAAATAACTGTAACTCAATCAAACTGAACAGTACGAAGTATAAATACATGGCACTAACAAGAAGTCCTATCAGCGTGGCCCATGCAGATTCCCGATCATAATTACACACGTCTATTGTAGTCAGTTCGCAAATTATTTTGGAGAAATAGTGCAAATTGTATTTCAAATTATTTGCCTCATGAACTTCGTTGAACAGGGTTAAGTCATTTGTGGAATGATACGTTATGGCGTAAATGACGTAGATAGAGTTGACAGATGCGATAGAAATCAGCTCCTGTAATGTGACGAATTAAATTTTAGTATTTTTTGGTACATTTGTACTTTGGTTGCAAAGTAGCATTGGACAAGCATCCCATTACCGAGGTTTTTACAAAAATATTGTTATTCTATAGATTTAAGATGCAGTTCCTGACAATATTAATTTTTAGCAGGGGTGGACAAATTTGTAGTATGACTAAATGTGCAAAATACCAGAGAAATACTTTGTCAAATCAAAATACAGTATCTTGAGCTTCGTTTTCCCCAGGGTAATGATTTCCAGGGCTGTCATACCAGCGATGAATAGCTTCGCTGTATAATTAGTATTTCATGGGACGGAGCTCAATATACTGTATTTTGAGAAAGAATTTAATTTCCCCCGATATTTATCCACATTTAGTCATATACATATTAAAAGTATACATCTTGTTCCATGAGTGGAACTCAGTCTCATTTTCATCAATGACTTGCCATGAGATCTTAAAAATATTCTAGTAATAAAATAACAACATACGGTTGACCACAGGCGTCCAAATTCCCCAAAGTGTTCCCAGAACATGGTCCACATCTGGATTCGCGCAGTCCTTGCGGTGAACAAGTTCCATAAAGACGTGTAACAGTATAATGTGCGTATGACCAAGTCAGTAAGGTTGGCCGTCACCTTCACCTTTTCTGAATTAACGAATTTGTGCGCAGTAATCATTGTCATCAGAACTGATAACATTATGTAGCCCGTTGTGACCAAGGCCTGCGAATTCAAAATCATGATTACTAATTTCTTGACTCATTCAAACTTGTTCTATTACATCCATCGTCAAGCTACTTCGAGACAAAATGTGCTTCCCACAAATAATTAAGATGAGTATTTCAAATAACCTCTTAATTATTACCGAATTGGTTTTATGACTTATTTAAAATTTAAAGGCTTACTTACTTTGTGCCAAGAAGGAGCCTTCCTCCATTCGATAAACAGCCTTCCTCTCTCAACCCGAAAGCGTGGACACTCACTTCCCAGTAGCGTAAAATATCTAAGGGTATGCCCAACATTCGCTAAAATGCATTTTAATTTAAAATCCCACGAATGCCCGACTGCAATTTGGAGTTGATCTAATTGACGATTCTCCATTTTTTGATCCGTTTAAATGAGAAAGGTAACTTTCGCCAAAAGACTGGAGATGAGTTGTGCTCACTGTTGGCGATGGCGATGAACAATCGCTGCTACATAAAGCTCAATGAAATATAAAGTCTAAGGGATCATCAAATCGTGCGAAATTAAGTATACACACAATTAAGTCTGACCTAAATTAATCTATTGACTCACTTTTACTGCTCATCCAGAAGTACATACGCGTTAAAATTTAGGAATTATATTTAATCGAATTTTTAGTACGTATGAGTATCATGCATTAATCAGTGTTTCGGGTGGACGTAACCATCTGCAGGAAATAACTGTAAGAAAGTGGTATTTTGGCCTGCAAGAAATACGTGGTGCAAGAAACGACCTCCCGCCGCCATAGTTAACATTAAAGCGGCGGCTCGCTCGATGGCGCTTATTTTTAGCACTTTCTTGCAATTTCATGCACCTCACATTACTTGCGTTACTTGGCTTGCAGTGCAAGAAATGTAGCAAACCTGTAAGAAACGAAACACTGACATTTATGTTGAGATGATTTGGCATGCAAACTTTATATCGGTGATTAAATGATGTCTTTGGTTAATTATAGCTCGCTTCAATGTTTCAGTGGTGATGTTGAGGTGCATAGGTTGAGACATAAAAGAGAAAGCAAGTGAAAGTGGGACACGTACTGATGATAAAATGTCCATAAAAATTACTCGTCTACAACTTCATTTACATTAAAACACATTACATTCCGGTTCCTATCGTATGATCAATTTGCACCAAATTATAAAATGACTCATCAGTTCTCGGCCTTGTTTTCGACATAATAAATTAAGCACAAGCTTCCCCTTAGAATTTCAAATTCTAACTTAAATAAAATAAATGTTTTTGATATGTATGATAATTATCGGCAGATTTGCCCCTATATTCATGATTTTCATATGTATGTTGTTTCATATAACTCTTGTAGAGTTATCGTGATATGATATGCACTGCCCATTTTTGCACACAATTTTTCACCAGTTTTAGAGCAAATTTCAGAATGCATGCATAGGTAGATGAAAGAAAGAGAGGCTTGTGCTTAATTTTATTAGGTAGAAAACAAGGCCGAGAACTAGTGAGTAGCATTTCATATTTTCCTGCAAATTAGTCATACGATAGAAAGTGGAAGGTATTTAATGTATTTTAATGTAAATGAAGTTGTAGACGAGTAATTTTTATGGACGTTTTATTCTCAGTACGTGTCCCACTTTCACTTGCTTTCTCTTTTATGTCTCAACCTATGCACATCAACATCACCACTGAAACATTGAAGCGGACATGTAATTGAAGTGAGCTTTAATTAACCAAAGACATCATTTAATCACCGATATAAAATGTGCATGCTAAATTATCCCAACATAAATAAATACACAGATCCGTCCATGGGTGGGGAAGTAAATATGTGTGTTTCTTATGGTGCATATATGTATTACATATATTTATAAATAAATAAATATTCTATAAAAATTAAAATTATAAAAACCTACAGTGCAGACTCCATATAGCCCGAGTCAGGGACAGAGTCCCTGACTCGATAAGTCAGAGTTCGCTTCTTGTCCGAATTGACCTACATACTAAAGCTGCATATAGTCCAGAAGTGGTTTTTTAGCCTCCATACCAAATTTCAGACCAAAATAACAACTTTTAAAACCCGTATGGGTCACCCTCCAGGGTCACTCTGGTTGCACTTTGCTTACTTTTAATTTCATATTCTTTCATGAGAAGCCATTAAGTATCACCGTGCCAGATTTTATGTTTTTACATCAAATTCCAAAAATCGGCATGGGTCACCCCATAGGGTCGCTGCAGATAAAAATTTTACCAATTTATTTCCATATTCTTCCATTAGTATATATTAGCAACCTGTGTATAAAATTTCAGCTAGATATGGCGATTTCGAAAAATCGGTATGGGTCAACCCCATGGGGTCTCTCAAGATGAAAAATTTTCCAACTTGAAGTCATTTTTATTTATTAGGAACCATTAGCAACCTCTGTACCAAATTTCAGCTTTCTACGACAATTTTGAAATTTTGGTGCATAATACCCCACCTACTCACATGACCCCCACCGGTCAACCACTTGACCGATTTGGCCCATCTTGGAACTCGTTTCCTAACTTCCAATACGGATATGGTAAAAATTTCAAGTCAATCGGTTCAGCCGTTTTGGCTCTATCGTGCCGGACAGACAGACAGACAGACAGACAGACAGACGGACGGACATGACGGTTCCATAAGCCCTGACTCGGGCTAAAAACACATTTTTGGAAAATTATGGTGTCTCATTTTTTATGGTGCATTGGAAATTCATGCCTGTAAATAGACTACATATATAAGTTGGGTATAAAAAAATATCATCTTAATTTTGTTATTTTATTTTTCTCACGCTTATTCCCTGGGTTGGAGGAAAATCGGTAGTGTGGGACTTCACGTGTTCCGATACATTTGCATCATCATACCTGCCCCAAACTAGTGTTCGCCCAGGAGTAGCAGCCGAGAAAGCAGAGGACCGGAAGAAGAAAAGATATGAAAAACTTATGGACAGTTTCCTTTTTGTCCCAATAGCCATCGAATTTCGAAACGACAGGGGTTTGGGGTAAAGATGGCTTGTCATTATTAAAGAAATCGGGTCCAGAATCACAAACATCACAGAAGAGAAGAGGGCGACATCCTTTTTATTGCAGGGAACAAGTATCACTGTTCAACGACGGAATCTAGCATCCATTTTAGGATCCCTTCCAAAAGGACACAAGCTGGAGGAGATATTTATGTTATAAAGAATTTAATTTTTAAGTCTATTGTATTTATGCTAATATTATGGATTTGTATATTTGTATAATTTGCTAACTGTCTATCAACAAGGATGTATGTACGTACCTATAATTGGAAAATATGTTATTTTTAAAAATAATTTATTTCGAAAACTTATTACAGGGTTTGTGGAACAGTTAGTGTGGTTGGGCTCATATGTGTAAGAAGAATCATGCAAATACTATAAAATACAATGTGCTGTGATTATTACTGATTTTATTTTTGATTAGCCTTCAATGAAATTTATCTTCCTTATCAAAAAATTTAAGAAAAAAATATAAAAATATAATCCTTATCCTTCCTATAAGTCACAAATTCACACTCAGCATTTTCCCATCATTTTGCAAGGATCTCTTTTTGCGCGGAACGCCGGGGAGCGTCGGAAACGCGGATTGACTTCAACGGCAGAGGGTTCAGCAGCACCTGTTCAAAACAATAAATGCAGCTCCACAAATTTCTTCCATTAATTTCCGTTTTCCGGAAATGATCGGCAGTTTGTTTCAATTATCAGATCAATTTTTACGAAAATAATTGCGAAAGTGAATTCACGGGAAGTCGTTTGTAAATGTTTGTAAGCTTACGAATTTTACGCTGTTTACGTAGTTACTAAGGGTGCGTGAATACCCTCAAAATAAATTTCAGCTTACTTTTTTAATTAATTATATAATTTTTCTCCTCGTAAACTTTTATGAACACTAATAAAACATTGGCGATAACTGCCCCGTCACATTACTCACCCAGTTCCGATGGGATATCATTGGCAACAGCGTGCACCTCCTGACCAACGGTAGCCAGCATCATCAGCACCACCACCACGAAGACACCAACCGTGGACTTGTTCATTTCTACGGAAAGACACGATGTTTAAAATTCGTAAATTTTATAACGAGAAACTTATTTCAACTTACTGAAAATCGCAAGAGTTGATCTGCTGTTGTTTTTTTTAAAGTGGAGTGAATATCTTCTGCATTGACTGGATGAGGTTTTATACCTACGAGGCCAAGGTTTTCTCCGTGTGACGGAATAGAAAACAATGAGATAATAAACCCTGGTAGAAGTAAATTACGAACTGTGGCATTGTTTCAGCAAAGTAAGTATGTACTTCAGAAAGTTATTTATTTGCGTATATTATGAATTCACTCCAGCTTGACACCCCCTGCTCTTCCGCTAAACCATCACTGAGCACCACATGACCAAAATAATTGTCTCGCTGTAAAGTAGGGGCGTATGTTGCTTCCCCTCACAATCACTTATACCCGCACACTTTTGAGTTGTTGACCAATTCCAGCTGCTTTTCAACAACAAATTAAGAAGTTAAGAATTAAATTCATAAAGTTGTCAAATTAATGAAATCAATAAATTTATAGGTTTATAATTTAACTAGATAAATTATCAAATTAATAAAATCCAAAAATTGATAAATAAATAAATAAACCTCGTTTGTTGTGTAACATGGCTAATTTCATATCACCGAATAAGATATCAGCACATTCTGGTTACAACAGCCAAGCAAGAAAACTGATCATGAATGTGCTGCATTTTTTTCGTGAATCCAAAAAAAATCCGGCACTCCTGGAAGGAAAATCCAGGGATATTGCTGCGAAAGCCTTAAATATTGGCACCTCCACTTTTGGTCGGATAAAAAAAACTGGGCTGTCGACGCCAACAAAAAAACCGGCCCGAATTCCGAAAGTATATTTCGATGATTTTGACAAGACATCAATTGCCAATATAATCAAGGAGTTTTACAAAAATAAGTAAGTATACATTATTTTTTAAGATCTTTATATAGCAATTGTCTTTTCAAAAATGTATTAACAGCTGGAAAATATTTCTCGAAATGTTAACTTTAATTAAAAAATCTAGGATTGCTCCAACTCTAAATTTAATCAGAAGCAAAATGAAAGAACGCAGAATTGGACCATCAACATTCTCAAGAACTACACTGTGGAAACTTCTTCGCACAATGGGATTTACGTTTAAAGCTATTGATAGAAGGGTCCATTTAATTGAGCAGCCAAACATCAAACTCTGGCGTCAACGGTATATTCAACGACTCAATCAAAATTCGGCAAATCAAAATCCTCGGCCAGTTATTTATTTGGACGAGTCTTGGATAGGCTGTAATGCCGTTGCGGTGAAGGGCTGGGTACCCAAACTTATGAAATCCAAAAGATCAAAACTAGATAAACAATAGTTTTCCTCAGAAAACCGGAAGGGGTAATACATACATACAGACTATACGACACACACTCCTCGCTCAGCACGACAATCTACGTCGTAGTATTTATGATGTTATATAACTGTTCCGAAAAACAATTCAAGTTGAAATTAAAATTCATAATTTTATCAGGACAATTAAATTTGGCCTTGCCTCCTTGACGTAAGAAAAATTCCAAAGTGTGAACAAGTTAAAGGTGATTTATTTACGTAAAAAATGTCGCTTGATTTTGCCTACGTATTTATATTGCATAGGCCGCGGAAGCGTGGGGTAGTGGTCTCAACGGTTCTCGGTTCTCATAGAACCGAACCGGAACCGATGGCTCGGTTCGGTTCCGGTTTATACGGAGAACCGAACCGAACCGAAACTTTTATTACCGGTTCGGTTCCGGTTTCAAGTCTTTGAGAACCGAACCGAACCGGCCGGTTCGGGTTGAACCGAACTTCATACATAAATACATTAGCGAAGTTAATCATATTTTCGAAAAAGTTTTACGAATTTCCCGAAATACACATAGTTTCCAAAATGAAATTTTGACGTGGCCGCACCTCCAAAGTTCCCAAAATGAAACTTTGACATGGCCACACCCCCAATGTTTCCAAAACGAAATTTTGACCTGGTTACATCCCCAATGTTTCCAAAACCAAATTTTGACTTGATGACACGCCCAAAGTTCCCAAAATGAAATTTTGACCTGGTTACATCCCCAATGTTTCCAAAACCAAATTTTGACTTGATGACACCTCCAAAGTTTCCAAAATGAAATTTTCACCCCCAAAGTTTCATAAACGAAATTTTTACCCCCAAAAGTTTCTAAAATTAAATCTTTACTTGGTCACACCCCAAAGTTTCCAAAATGAAATTTTGACTTGGTTACACCCCCAATGTTTCCAAAATGAAATTTTTACTTGGTCACACCCCAAATGTTTCCAAAATGAAATTTTGACTTGGTTGCACCCCAAACTTGGAATTGTTTTCTAACTTCAATAATACATACATAAGTGGTTTTGCTGTTGACATGTATTCGAATTTGCTTGTTTAAATACAGATAAGTTATTGGCTTATATGTGAAATTTCATCAGAAACACGTCAATTAGCATTGTTTGTTGTTTATTGCATATTAATAACACTACCGGTTTGACCCGAACCGCCGGTTCGGTCCCGGTTTGGTCCGGTTGCGGTTCGGTTCCAACTAAAAAAAGTTCGGTTCTGTTTCGGTTCTTCAATTCTGGTTCTCGGTTCTAAACCGGTTCTTCCAAGAACCGAACCGAACCGCACCGTTGAGACCACTAGCGTGGGGACAGAGGTACAATGTCCCCACAGTTGTTCGATGTCCCCATCATCTCCCCATGTTGTGCAAACCCCTCCCTCCCCTATCCTACAATGTTAACGTCCCCACTGCTTCCGCGGTCACTGTTGGCTCCTCAACAATGCCAGGCCAGTCCAGTATAATGTGTACGTCAGCTTTCTATAAGTATATACCGTCACCTTCTTATTTTGATCGTCCGTGGAAACTTCCCGAACGCCTCAACATTTTCGCCATTGTGCTTCTAATTTTTGACCCTCGGTCGAGTTCTAAAATAGGGTCAATGACGAGAAGTCAAATGCCAAGTTGCACCTTAATGCTCATATGCGGTAATATTATAATTTCATAGGAAATTTCAAATAAAGGAAAGCCTACAAGTACCACAAATCCTTCACTATAAAACATAAGTTGGGTGGATATCTTGCAAAATTACATAAAAAACTAGATCAAACTTTAAATTATGTTGTCTACTTGAATGTATACGCGTTTCATACTTCATCATTCGCATTTATTTACTTTAAGAAAATAACAAATGCTACCTGACGGGACTGTAACAAGTAGGTAGATAAGACTTGCATAGCATATTTACAGGCATGATTTTCCATCGGAATATTTCCAAACATATGTTTTTCATAATTTGAAAACAAATGAGAGACCATAATTTTGAGAAATAATAGAACATTATCACTTGATCATCTAAAATGCATGCATGGAGAAAGTTGGAGGAGGAGAAAGTCGTCTTGGGAGGCAGATTGAGACTGATTGAGACTCACACACAACGATACCCTGTAATTCTTATCTGCATTTTTTGTTTACCTAGGATTAGTTTGACTGGCAGTATATTTTTAATGGTTAATAGATATTTACTCAATACATATTTACGTATTTAAGTATGTATAATTTAGAATTTCAACAGTTTGCAAGTTAACCTTTTTTAAATTAATTTCGCATTTTTCACCATGATCGTCATATCTTTATTTCATTATTATTATGATGCGATACGATATATTTATTCACATATCACAAAAATGCATACCATTCTCACGACACTCACGACTCAGAAAATCAACCCTAAACAATATCTTAATCGCTATACATACCTTCAAAGTGCAAATCGTACCACACATAAAGTGGAAACGGAACTTCTCTCTATCCATTTATTAAAAAAATAAACCCCAAAAAAATGATAAACTTTAAATAAATCAAAATCATCTCGAGTATAAAATAAATAAATTTGCGTGCAAAACAGCCGTCTCAATTTTACCTCTTTATCATCTCTTCGTGGTTAAATCATGATGTGTTACAACCCGATTGAGATGATTATTACTAATTCGGCCCACCTTTTACAAAGAGCCGACGTAATGTATGCATATCAATTGAACAACAACGTCATCAATAATCAAATCATGCAGGAGAATCACGTCATTTTTTCATCCATGAATTTCGCTAGTTTCTTATCAAAGACAATCTCCGCGAATTTTTGTGACTAGAGTGTAAACGAAATATGTAAATTACTTTTTTTTAAGATTTGAGACCATATTCTTAAATTAGAAGTGAGGTCATGGTATTGCGAAAATTAGGTTAATTTCGGCGATAAAAAATCGTGGTCGTATTTTTTTTATTCATTTTGAATGAGCAAGTGGATTGGAATTGGATTAATAATTCAGCCTGAAATTACCGTTGTGTAAGAATTTCGCTTATTTTATTATCTCCTGAAATCTTGAGCTTTAGATTTTCTCGATATACATATCCCTGCAATTGTACGGGGCGAATAAATAAGTGGCGAGTGAGACAATCCATGATGCCAATCTAAATTTGATTGTTGGACAAACCAAATAATGTAATCATATCACATCGAAATAAAGTCATGACGAATGGAAAAGATGAGAATGATGAGCAGACAATAATAATAATGATAACGAGCAAGAAAAAAGAAGGATTTGATAAAGAGATGATTTTGTTTTAAGTAAGAACACGAGTGAGCGACACGAATGCACAACAAGTTGAGAGAAAAAGAAGACGAGATTTTATTATACAATGGTTTTATTCATTGGTACTTGGTTCTAAATTATTGCACTTTTTGATAAGTATGAATTTGAGTTTGTTCTCGTATTTACTTACTTGTTTTGAGCTAGAATATTGTCTAAGTATTTTTAAGTGGTTATTTTTACACAAATATTTTTCAAAAATTCTTTATATCAAATATTTGGCTGATTTGATTACATAGTAGTTTACCTTGCTTTCATCCCGTTGCATTTTTTTTGCCATAATATCCTGCCTAGCTGAGCGGGTTACACATCTCATCTTTCTTCCAGTACATACATACATCAGTCCTTTCCTTAAATTATGTAAGTCTTTATAGAAAAAGTAATGATATTTAACTCGTTAGGCCTTTTTTCCACCCATTCACGCCTTTTTCACTTCTGATGGGGTCATGTCCAAATTGAATTTCAACCCCCCTCTAATACTAATCTTGTGGGCACGTGGTTTCAGCGGCTGAAAATTCCGTCCCCATAACTTACTTATTTATGAAATGCGCTTTATTTGATCTTCCTCTATCATCGAGTTGTTTGCCTTATTCAATGTTTATGTTACATATTACTGATTATTATTGACATTGCTTTGCTGTGGTCAGAAGTTTGCTGGGAAGAGAGAAAGCTGGCCACGGCGATTATAAGCTGATTAATCCCATCCATCCAGCATGACATAGGTACTAGCAGTACCTACTAAATATCTATATCTATCTACCAGCAGAACTTTATGTAAGTGTAAGTGTACTCAAAGGGAGTACTTATATAAGAACACCATCTCGTATGATAACTGATTTAGCTTGGAAATTAATCGGTATTAAAGATCAATGAATTTTGAAAGTACTAGTCCTGACCCATTTCATAATTTTATCAATGTATGTGTGAGCTCACAATTTCTATCATTCTTATTGGAAAGTTTTAATTACGAAATTGTATTGAAACTCCTGATTTTCCAATTATTTTGCACGGTGTTAATCTGCTTGTTTTTAATATAAATCTGAACATGTGGATGTCTGTCCGTACAAGTTGACCAACAACACTTTTTGCATTCACTTTTTTAAAATAAAGTTGACAAAACTTGAATCTGCGAAATGCACTCTGTCGCCTGTAAATTAAGTATGAAACTTCTTTCTATGCGTGGAAGTCTTCTTTGTCATTTGTACTTATTTATTTATTCAGCATGTTTTCAATGCATATTTCATTCATTCACACGTTAGGACGACCAATTTCATTCACTTTTATTCCTCCTCCTCAGTCGTTACGAAGTGCACATCCTGACGAATAATGAAGGCTGACGATGAATGTGTCTCTTTTGCCTCATCACTAGTAGAATTGTTGCATTGTATTTGTTTACAACAGGAAAATTGTTTCACTGGAAAAATGAATGGGACAATTTTAATCAGGTTCAATTACCACATTTTCATATAGAAAATTGACGACGGCATTTTTGTTCAGTTTTGAAAATTCGGGATAATACATGTCTTGGCTTTAAAACTGATTTTATTATTTAATAAGTTTCCATTATCAGGGGAAGTGTGTGAGGTAATAAGTCTGTGAAACATGAATCGGTTCGAAAATTATACGGACCTCATAAAATATTATTCCCTGAAAGTCAAACCACACACTTTATAAATATATCTACTTCACAAATGTGTGTTTAAAATGTGACAAAACACTATTTGAATAGATCGATACGACGAAAAATGAAATGAAAAATGAATAAAATGTACAACTAAAAAAATGTACATATGTACAAAGTAGAGCTGCATACATTGCATTATGCCGAACTGCGCTAAATAAATTGGCACCTTCATTATTAACTAAATTCATATGATTTCTTCACTTGGACGCTCTTTCATTACTCGGTTCTGAGAAAGGTGACGATTCCACTTTTCCTGACGATATTCGAGTTACAGATGAAGCATGGTTTTTTTTACCGTTCTACCTACGTAATTTTCCTCCAGTGTTCCAATTCATTCGCAAAAACATGTGCAATTTATTTATTGCCAGATTATAATTTTGCACTGTATCAATATCTGGGAGTATAAAAATTATAGTTTGCTGTTCTGTAAATTTCTTCCAACGTATGTACTACATAGTTTGAACATAATAAAATTTATGACTTTATAATTAACGTCTCTCTCATGAAAAAAATTCATAGTTATAGTTTTTTCCAATTAAAATAATTTCATAGTTTAAATATGTGAAGCCCATTAATACAGAATTATACATATATTCATTTGTGTGTAGTGTACATTTAACAAATTGGAGTAAAATGCAATTAAAATCTAATCGTCAATGACGATTCGTCATTAAATCATTCTCTTCATGTGGTACTTATTATTTGTAACCCGCATTTCACATTCTAACATTCGTTTCAAATAAAGTAAGAATGCATTATTTACTCAAATACAAAAGTTTGTCGCCACAATGGCCACATAAAAATTGTTTCCCACCTAAATAAATAAATGACACTTACTTATTTTGGTAAAGAATTTTACTCATTTACAGCTTATTTATCTGTAATTGTTTATTTTATTTGATAAAAGTTGCAACTTATCATCCACTCATTTCTGAAAAAAATGTCATTGTTTTTTTTTTACCGATTTGTGAAACTTAACAGTTTTATTTCTACATGCATAAATAGATTAAGATCAACTGATCGACATTTCTTTAATTTTTTTGCATTTTTCTAGCAAAAAAAACGTATCTAAATTTAAACCATAATTTGAATTTGAATTTGAATTTGAACTATCCAATCCACACATTTGCACCAACCAAATGATGAGAAATGCACTTAGCATCTCATTGTCATTTCATCTCTGGAGCACAATAGGAGTGCATAATCCCGGCAATCACACCACACTGGGATGCACATATTATCATATTTTTATTTCTACACGAGGGCATTACTACGACCATTGTCATTTCACATTGTTGTCTTATTTTTCTTGTGGGATTTCTTCTATGTGTGCGTCTTCATACAGATACGAGCATTTGTCTCTCTCTGTTATTCATCCATTTATGCATTTCATTTCATAATGAGGATTCCGCAAGTTTAAGTCGGGAGACAAAACCAAGTCGTGATCTCCCTTCAGCTGCAGGAATCAGAATCAAAAAGTTGGTGCAATTGTGCATCCAGACGAAATTTAGTGTGAGGATGAAGAAGAATGTGAGGCCCATCATTTTAAATAATTCGTATACAGAAAATAAATATGACTATTCGTATACAGAAAATAAATATGACTATTTGTGTGTGCAGGTGCCTGCCTGATGATGGGTTTGACGATGTGAATATATGTATCACAAGTGGAATTAAGGGATACCGAAAAAAATGTGAAGAGATCAAAGTGAGTTGGTTTAAATTACTACATATGAATCAGATTAGAGTTTATGATTAACATTTTATTTATTTAAGAATTGCACATAATTTTAACTTTAATTATTAAATGAATTGTGATATTTCTACAGATTTGTCAAAATCGGTAAAGAATTCGCTAATTAGTTTCATACAAAAAAGTCATGGATATGTTCTCGTTAATAGAATTAGGATTAGTTTAGTGTTTTGTTTACCTTTTATGTTAAATTGACTTAAAAAAATCATTGTAATCTTTATTGGATAACAGTTTGAGAATTATTTTCATATTTCTAGAAAATAAAAATTTTTTTTCAGAAATTTTGATTAAACTTGTTCACATCAATTTTTATGAATATAGGTACTCAACTAAAAACATACCCTTATCTTAATTATCTATGTACTCACACCTGTTGGTTCATTACCTAAATTTTGAACCTACTCATAATTTCTATACTTTTACAAAATTTATTTCTGGCTCCCAACTTAACCATAAATATTTCCTAGCTCTACATATTTATTAATATTATTATGCTTTTTAACGTTACAATCCACAATCTACATCCATCCACCAACTTTTTTATTCCAAAATATTCTCTCTCCTTCTCTCTGTTCTTCTTGCACTCTCACGCACGACATTCATGACTCAACCTTAAACAATGTCCACTTTTAGACTCGATCTTATTAACTAGACCGCAAAAGCTCATACACTTTAAAAAATCACACGACCTGATCCCCCTAAATCAGAATCAGGTCCGATTTTAATACCAATTTGAGTGCACTGCATAATAATAAAATAAATCTGCATCATGCAAACCATCATTTCTTCTTTATCATTAGTGCATACTTACGCATGTCATGATCCATTACACGAGATTTAAAGAGAACGGTTCTTCGTATTTCTCTTTATTCTTTACAAAAAAGCCGATACATCGAATTTCCTCGATAAAGAAATCATGATAAATATTTAATCGGATCACTTCATCGTTTACTTACATCCTTGTTAAAACTGTTGCTTTGCTTTATAGAGGTGGATTAAATAACGGAAATAAAAACAACACGATGGGTTTAAATGTGTGCAAAAATGGTGTTGATTTTGTTGATAAATTGACTTTGCGGGATCAAAATCATTTCCGAATCGTGTAATCAAACTGTCATTTTATATATCTTATATTTATTTTTGTTCGTTCTGCACGCGCAATTACACGAATAAAAAAATAAGTTTGTGATGGAAAATGGTTATGAACAGAGGACGGATATATACTCACGAAAAATATGTATTAAATATTTACGAAAGAAAGGCCGCTAAAATATTTACGAATTATGTATGTAAATACGAATAACACCATAAAAATACAATTTTCACAAAATTTGTATTTTTAAGTAGAAATCCTCTGGATTTTTTGTAATAAAATTTCATTGAGCATAAAAATTCGTCTCACATCGTTGAAATATTTACAAAACGTGTTTTTGAAAATTTATTTAAACGATTTACGCATTTTTTCAAACAGCAGAAATGTATGTCTGAAAACCTATAAATATGTAAAAAAAAAAAAAAAAAAAATATTTTAAAATTTTTGAAATCTTTGCCAGTTTGGGAACACACTCAAAAAGTTTGACCGTCAGTCGTCACTAAATGAAAAAGCTGAAAATAAATACATAGCCGCCCTCTGCTTATGATAAAAGAAACCCAAAAAAGGAAAGCTTAGATGAGACTTAAGAAGTGCGATAAAAAGTATTTAATAAATTTCTTCTCCAGTGAAGGGTATAGAATTTTAATATTTTCAGTATCAGCGCCCCATTTTATTTTATACTAAATTATATAAGCAACATGTTCACGTATGCATATTACTGGGGAATGGAATCGACTATTTGGTAAGACCTGTATATTATGTATCAACTTTAAGTATAATTGCAAGCATTCATAATTTTTTAGTAACAAGAACAATTAGCAAATGATTTTAATATGTTTCGCTACATCATATTTGAAATTTGATAGTTATTGTATAATTTGTATCTATGATAGTGAATGAAATGGGGCGCTGATGCTGGAAATATTAAAATTCTATACCCTTCACTGGAGAAGAAATTTATTAAATACTTTTTATCGCACTTCTTAAGTCTCATCTAAGCTTTCCTTTTTTGGGTTTCTTTTATTTAATAGTTTTTATTCGCAATTGAAAGTAATTTATTAAGTAGTGTAAGCTAGGGTACCCTTTTATTATTCGTAATTATCAATTTGCTGAGTGGTGGGCCTTAGCAACTAAACTTGGTGGTGGTGGGAGAGGCAATATTTTGACCACCATCAAAACTTTCTCAGTTTTAAACTGATTTTCAGGATTTTAATTTTGTATTTTTATAAAAAATATGTATCAACTTTTTGCTCATTTACATTTAGCATGAAGGCCTTTATTTTTTTCTAATCTTAATAAAACACATTTTCGATGGTGTTTTTCCTGCATATCTCAGGAACAGGGCACTATTCCAGCCTCCTGGTCGACAGTTCAATTCTAATTTGCCATAATTGACTCTGGACACTAATTTCATTAAAATCGGATGGAAATTGACCTAGATCTGAAAAAATTAAGCTTCTCAAAACCGTAGTGATTGCTTACTTAGATGATTTTTTTCCTGCAGTAACTATAGCCTCATCTAAGAAAAAAGAGAGATGTAAATTGACGATGATCGGTGTGTGTCTTTGGTTTTTATCGCATCAAAATCTTGTAGATCCATTTCCAACCTGTACACATTAAGAGAAAGAGAATACGCGGAGAGAGACAGTTCATGCCAATCTAAATTTGATTCTTGGACTGAATAATGTAATCATATCACATCACATCGGTCGGATAAAGTCATGATGAGTAAGACGATGCTGATGATGATGGAAGATAGTGAGTGAGTGAGCAGGCAATAATAATAATGATAACAATAATAATGACAAGTAAGAAAAAAGACGGAAAGGTAAAGAAGAAGACGGGATTTGATAAAGAGATGATGATTTTGTTTTAAGTGCATGAGTGAACGACACGATTATACAACAAAACCCAGGGCAAAACAGAGATTTGGATCGGCTGATTGTGAAAATATGGATTGTGCAAAAAAAGCAAAGGAGAGTACAAAATATATGGATTTGAGGATGACGGACGACGAATAATCCAGAGACGACAAAAAAATTCTGTGTTGTTAATGCAATAAAATAGTTCTTACAAATGAAAAACTTGATCTTCATTTGTAACTTATAATCTAAATTTTACTATATTTTTCTTTCCGACTTTAAATTCAATCAGTATATATTTTCAGAAAATTAGTGAAGTTTGTGATTGTATTTTTAATTTGAAAAATCAAAGCACAATATCCATTTTTCAAATTATTCGTATCAATTTTGAATAATTCGAAATCCTTGAATATTCATAATAAACCTGCGTTACATAATTTGCTTGGCATCAAATTTCGAAAATATCAAACGGGCTTGAAACTCCTACAAATGCAAAATTTTACAAACAATATTTCCCAAATTATAACTTTTTTTACCAGTAAAACAATCAAATTTAATAATCACATCAATTCTTAAAAAAATCTACTCCACCCATCAATCTCACCTCATCCCTATTAATTAATTACTACATCACCTCCAAAAAATCCAAGCACATCACCAAACCAAAATCTAAACCCACCTCCGCAATTAAATCACGCCTCCCATTATTATCAAACTCCTCTCTCTCTCTCATACACACAAATTCGCACATATCCACATGCATACTTACCATTTTCACATACCAACAACACACCACACACATGAAGTGAACATGCATACATGTGGCCAATCCCAAGATGCGCATCCAATCAGAATATCATCCCCGAGTTGAACGTCTTCCTTCCTTCCTCCTCTTTTTAGTCCTTTTCTACACACACGATCCGGATAGACTTTCATAAATAAAATGCCTAGCAAGCAAAACTAGAGGCTAACAAACCCTTCTGTTCATCTCTCTCTCTGTCAGAAGAAAAGTCTACAACCCTTTCTTCCCCGACGTGATTTCGTGTGCAGAATAATCTTCACGTATCCATCAAACCGTTGTGAACACGTCAATCTGTTTTTTCTTCTTTCTTAAAGCAAGTCTTCTTTGCATGGCTTTTATTAACTCACTTTATTCACTCACTCAGTCACAATTAGCTCGATTCGCGCAGATGAAAGGATGGATACAGTCCGCCTTTCTTTCTCGTTATGAGATTTGTTGCCAAGATTGTGTGAGGGAATCACGCATCGCGACTCGTCTCATTGCGAATATTTTTTTTTTGCCGAGTCATTCAAGATTCACACACAAGAGAAAATTAGAAAAAAGGTTTGAGCTTACAGTGGCCGCGGAAGAAGTGGTGTGGGGACAATGTCCCCAGGGTTGTGCGACATCTGCCCATGTTAGATAAACCCCATCTGGAATGTTAATATCCCCCTCTGTCCCCACCCACGGCTTCCGCGGCCACTGTATGATGATGCCACTTTGTATTTATGATTATGTGTGTTGTCGAGTTGAGGGGTGAAGATTACATTTATTACGAGATGATGATGAAGAGATAACGTGTTGCCTTAATCTTTTGATGAGAAAGTTAATTGAAGGGAAATCCCGTTCTTTTTAAAAATAGGGGTAGCTTAAAAATTGCAGTTATTTCATTTTACACAGCGTCCTTTTATTCAGGGAAAGATCTGATAAGGAAGAAATTCGACAGGTGGACGGCACGACGAATTACGTACGTATTTGATTTTTTTATTTTTTTGAGGGAGGTTTTTCGAATGAATGGCGCAGATTTTTAGAATGTTTTTAATCGAATGTTGTTGTATCCTTTTATGAAATTAATGAGTCTGCGAAATGTAAATATTTATAATGTTATTAGCTTCAAGGAAATCGTTAGTTTCTTGTAGAAAAATAACAAGAAAGGCGAATAACATACTCGGCAATTCATAAATTACTCGTGTAAGTGGTGCATCATTAGGCAGAGAATGAAACAAAAAAACATGTCGTTACACTGATAAGCATCGATCGCGATAACCTTTCTGACATTTGCTTACATAAATCGGGAAATGTTTTAGGAGAAGAAGAACATAAATTTTAAGACATTTTGTTTCATGTGGTCTTTGGCAGCTCAATTTTTTCAGGAAAATTCACATTTTTGGGTAAAAATCTGATTTTCCCAAAGTCATCATCTCGCTACT